GCTCCCACCATCCCTGTGCTGAGTTCCCGGGTCTGTACACCTGCTGTGCCCATTATGAGGAGCTCCCACCATCCCTGTGCTGAGTTCCCGGGTCTGTACACCCGCTGTGCCCATTATGAGGGGCTCCCACCATCCTTTCTCTGCCTTTCCAGGTCTGCACACCAGTCAATCACTCTTCCTTCGCAGGTGTCTGCTGGTAAGCTGTCCATTGGCCGGACGCAGAGGTCAGATTCGGGGGTCTATGTCTGCATCGCCGCCAATCACGCCGGTGAGAAGACAAGTCGTCCTGCTCAGATCACAGTGCTGGGTAAGAAAGGTTTCCATTTTTCTGTCCTAACCTACAGCGGAGTATTTTGCTTTTCTTGATAAAACATTTTGTGTAAAGAATGATAGAATTTATTATTGGTTGGCTGAAAGAGGACCCAACATGCCCAGTAATGTGTCCATGTGACACAGATCAGCCCCTGCTGCAGCCTGGGGACTTGTTACAAAGTGATCACTGGGGGGAGGGGAGACTGAGGAAATGCTTCCTCCTGCCTGCAGCAGACTGATCACTGGGGGAGGGGAGACTGAGGAAATGCTTCCTCCTGCCTGCAGCAGACTGATCACTGGGGGAGGGGAGACTGAGGAAATGCTTCCTCCTGCCTGTGCTTCCTCCTGCCTGCAGCAGACCGATGACCTTCTCAGTCTAGGCAAAGTCACTGACTGTAGTTCAAGGACGGCTTTTTGTTAAAGTATTTCTGAAACATGAAATGTGTGCACCCATCAATCTCTAAAAGAAGGATTGCCCAGTTTTTATTCCGTGTCGCCCTCCTGCAGAGCCACTTCTGTTCACCAACAAGCCCGCTGACGTGGTCACCAAGGCTGGCAGCACTGTGCAGTTTTTATGTGGAGCCCAAGGAGTTCCCAGACCCGTCATACAATGGAGCAAAGAGCAGGGGGCGCTCCCTACTGGCCGGTAAGTGGGATTACAGCTTACAAGAACGGTAATTAGGGAAAGTCTAATGTTATCATTGAAATGTTTTTCTGAAGGTTTTGGGCTTCTACCTTTTGTATACTTGTTCCATATATTTATATACACTGGGTGGGCGGTCCCAGACTATTTAGAGGTGGAGTCTGGGTGGGGCCTGATTTGGGCGTTCACCTACCCTGAAGTTGGTAGGGCGACATGTGGGCGGGGTTAACAGTGTCCCAGGACCATAATGTCGGTAAGGATGCAGGAAATCAATGACTTTCACCCCAGATTCACACATTTTTTTTATAGGGATACAGATGGAAAATGATGTGAACACTGGGTGAAAGTTGTGTGAATCCTGGGTAAAAACATTTATAAATAGACCCCATGAGTTAAAGTTTGTAGAAGATGTTTAGGATTTTGTATTAAATGATGAACCACGGCCACTTTGTCCCGGTAGGTACGCCATCACCAATGAGAACACGCTGAGTCTGCAGCGGGTGACCGTCCAGGATTCGGGGAAGTATATCTGCACCGCCAGGAACCAGGTGGACACGGTGTCAGTCAATGCCCAGCTGGTGGTGGAAGGTAACTGCTGTCCATTGGACAGGTCTGTGTGTGTGTGCGTGCGTGCGTGGGTGGGTGGGAAGGCCGTATGAACGCGCTACAAAACGCCCTACGCCCCAAAGAAGTACAGGAGCTTCTTTGGGGCGTATTTGCCGCGCGTATCCATTGGGACACAGCCAGCTAGCCCTCGGAAACTCGCGGCACGAAACGTGCGACAAACGCGCATATTCGATACGCCTAGGTGTGAACCCAGCCTTAAGGTGCCCATACACCTTATGAATATCGGCCGATGTTCGTATGCGGTCGCGTTTTCGTCCCATATCCGTCCAACTGACGGTCGACGGGCAGTGTACAACCGCAAATACTGTACAATCGATCGACTTCTGACTAACCAGCAGGTTAGAAAACTTCGGCCGATCGTACGATTTTCGCAAGGTCTGGTGGCGTTCCCGTACGTCAAAATTCATGCGAACTACACTGCACATGCGCAGACGAAAATACGTGCGGTCGATTACCGCAATCCGTCCGGGTGCTTTCTTCTAATTACCGCTGATCCAACCTTGCGATAATCGGGGCGGGATGGGGCCGCCGTACGAAAATCGCAGCGACGGTTTCGGTCATCGGACGGAAAGGGACGTCCGATGATCGCAAGGTGTATGGGCAGCCTTAAGGTGCCCATACACTGCACGTTTCTCGTACAAGAATCGCGGGAAATCCCGCGATCGTACGAGAATCGTGCAGTGTACGGAAGGCGTGCGACCGTTTCTAATGTACGGTCGCACGACTTTTGTATATCGAGCATGTTGGAAAACCAGCCGAGAATCGTACGATTTTCGGCTGGTTTTTAACGTGATCGAGAGATCACTGCTGAACGGCCCGTTCAGCATTGCAGTCATCGGAAGCCCCACCCCTCAGGGGGGGGGGAGGGGGCTTGCGACGATCGCAAACACGATCTGCCAGTCCAAGATGGGCATATCGTACGTTTTTAAAAGTACTTTACAACCCTCGCAAGACAAAAGTCTTGCGAGGGTTGTAGAGTGTATGGCCACCTTTACAATGACCTGAGTGGGATTGCTTTTATTCTCAGTGCCTCACTTTATATCCGGAGACGCAGATCCGAGCAGTAAGTGACATGGTTACACTGTGCGTGTCTTTTCAGATCCTCTGGATACGGGTCAGACGGACAGACAGAAGGACGTCCTCCAAGAACTGGCGGCTGTGCGCGTCTATCTGGACTCGGTGACCGTGCAGAACTCTTCATCCGTGCAGCTTCAGTGGAAGGTGAGATAACGGGACTCGCGGAGGCGCGCCATTGATCGTCCCTTGTACGAGGTCCTCCTATCATGGAGTGAATTGATTGGGGAGGTCGTCCTTCACCTCCACATTGTACGGTAGTTTACAGCCCCAAAAAGACACAGAGACCCTAAATGTCCCCGACCTATAACCTTCACCCTGACACCAGTCCCTTCCCTTCCCCGGTCAGGCTGGGGAGGGAGGAGCCAGAAAATTAGATGTATTTTATTATATATTAATATATATAATTATTTTATTGATATTTGATTTCATTCATTGAATACAGTATATCTGTGGTGTGCCATTTGTCTTTTAGGCGTCGTTCCTGTCACAGAACACCGAAGGTTACGTCGTATTTTATCGCCCTCATCTGCCCCCGAATTCTGAATGGATAAAATGGCGCTCGGTCCCACTAACGGAAAACAGCGCCACCATCCCATCCCTGGGTAGAGGACAGAGGTACGAGTTCAAAGTACGGCCGTACGGGCGGGGAACCTTCGGCACCGACAGCAACGTCAAACACGTCCAGATCCCCGAAGGAGGTAAGAAAAAAAAATATGATGCATGATGTGATACTGTGCGGTGTGATGTCATACCGCATGCCGTGACGTCATACCGCATGCCGTGACGTCCAAATACCATTCGCACCCCTACGGTCTGGGGGTGCAAAAAGGCATCTGTGGTGCTCAAGGTGACCGCACATGCTGCCTGTGGATCTAGTTCCATACATTATGTGTCCATGTTTATTGTTTATCATTCAGCCTCCCCCCTTGCTGGACGTCACTGCGGCAGTGGCTCGCTCTGGCCGTATCCTAGCAACGAGCAGACGTCGGGGGTGGGTCTACGGCCTCCGGCGCATGCGCAGTCCGCTGTGGAATCCCGATGGGGATCGCACACACACCGCTCTCTACGTTACATTGGTGGCCATGGCAACCGGGGACGCTGCAAGATCGGCACCAGGTGATCACATGACAGGGGTCCCTGCACACACAGAGCAGGATTTCCCACAAGGCCAACCAAGGCCAGGCCCTGGGGCAGCAGGGAGTAGAGGTGCAGCAGGGGTGTGGAATTCCTAATTCCTGATGCCCGGGACATGCATTTCGGGGCGCCGGGAGGTTAGTTGTTTTCTACATTTAAATGTACAGCGGGGAAGCCGCCGCTTGTTCTGTACATGTGGGTG